ACACATTTTCATATTCATGCATTTATACATACATGTGCTTTTCTCTTGCCCTTGAGATGTCTTTTGCTATCAAGTTTAGGCTACACAATCCATTCTTTAGATAATGCCTCTATATTTCGAACTCCACTACCACTGCTACTAATTTCAAATCATACAATTTCAATTACCATGACATAAATACTATATCATTTCCCCTTTTCACCGATATACCTCATAGTTCCAACATTATAACATCATTATATACACACAAAAAAATCCACGGTCTAATCTGGCAGTGACACTCTTGGCATACTTCTCGTTCTTCCTTCCAATCTCTGACATACTTCATTTGCTTTCCAGCCCGATCAAGTTTACGATATTATATGGTTACATTACATACTTCATGATAACTGATGTACATTTAGTCATCCTAACTACATAAACATCATTCATCTTTCTCCAATTTTAGTACTTTCAGATCATGCTAACATTAGCAATCATAGATACCAAGATGATGATGTTCACCAAGTAACTTATTATATTTCTATATTGCTTTCTCTAACCTTTTTATCAGTTCAACTATCTTTACACTTAGTTTTACCTTTAATATTCATTCCTTCATCCTTTTGTGCATCTGAAACATGCCAATCATTCTTTGAAGGCTTTTGATTTAACATAGTCTTCTCTTACCGATTCCAGTGCCCATACTTTCTTTCACTACACTAGATACTTTCTGCAACCACAAAAATTAACTTAACGCATTTTTCATTTATATCATCATTGTGTTCATCCTAGATTCTAGTCAGAACTCTCTCCTCTGACGACAAATACGTACATTCAGTCGACTTTGCTACTTGTTTTACCAACTAATCGATTAACTCCCTTTTCATAACACACATGCCACCATTTGGTTCTAATGACCCAATTCATACCCTTATATATAGTCATTCTTAAACAAGTCATTTTGTAATAACCTTTGATATGCTCGTTGATATTTAGGATATTATGCTTTATTCATAACATTGATTGTTCTAAGTGCACATCTTTACTTATTTCATCATCTTCAACTTATATTGCAACTCACTTATCTTTGACTTAATGCAAACTAATTCATGCAATTTTACACTATTCTAGCTTTGATGTCTTTCTAGCTATAACTATGGGAACAATTCCAAAGCCCCCTTTTTATGGCTTGGAGGTTATACGCTTTAATAAACCTAATTATTTAACCATAAAATATTTCTTACTTATTAAACCTGATACATTATTACAATCATTAACATTTTTTTTTCACCACCCTTCTCGCTTTCATATCTTGCTCAAAGCAACACATGCTTACTAACAATAATTACTTTCATCAAATCAAACAAGTTAAATCATCCCTCTAACCTTAACCATCAAGAAAAGGTACATGGAGAATAATGAAATTGTGGTTTCCAACAAGACTAATCAACCATAGTCTCATACATTCCAAAAGCATCTCAGACACTGATATGGTGTCTTTTCTTTAAAGAAACTAATCCCGTAAGAACCCTTAGATCTTCTCATATGGGTTACATATTATGTCGACATTCCAACTCTTGATTGTAAAATCCATCAACTAGTCATGAACCTAATCAAGATCATAAGCTCTTATCATGGATCTGATGCCATAATTGATTACGCGAATGACCTCATTGCTAATCTTATATCTAACTATTTGATCTTTCTGCCAATTGATATAAGAAATGATCGCCCAACTCAAATATGGGATGAATCAACTCACTATATCATCAAAAATTTATCCACCAACACGACTCTATATCTATTTTATCTCATCTTACCATGTGTTTTGCATAAACACATCTCTATCAATGTCATTATATCCAATGATATTAAACCTTCTAACGACTTTTCTGCTTTAATCTAGTTTAAGACTAACCCCAAATTAACTTAAATCACCACTCTCATCACTATAAATCAATCTTTAGTCACACATCTATCAATTATAAAATCTTCCATTCTCAGTTTAAGTTTAGGTTTCAGTAACCTAATTTACTTAAACTTTGCTCTGATACCATTAGTAACATCCCAAAATTTTTGAATACTTAAATATAATAAAACTAGTATCCCAAGATCAAACACTTAAATTGAAGCGGAAATAAAATTTCTAATCTTACAATTTATATCATCATCTAAACTTACAATCTTGAGGAACATAACTTTGTTCTATATAATAACGCCTTGATCTGCACATATCCTTTTTTGGGGGCTAACCCTTATATCTCTCTTTATCCAAAAAAAATTTCCAGTCTAACAGCCGCCTGGGTGAAAATTTTAAAACAGTTTTGGTGAGCCTTAGGCCCAGTGAATCCACGGTTTTCATGCACGAAGAATAACTTTTACAATAAATAATTTTCACGAGGCTTTATAAATTTAGCATGCCTTGATGAGAATAATAATTTTTCACAAAATAAAGATATTAGTGCATGTCTACATCACAAATCAACGGCGTCATGGGAGATGTCTACCTCACACCGCATTACATGGCGAACTCACACAACATGTCCATACTTACGGCTTAGACAAGCTCACAAAGCATGCTCGTCTTTACAAAATCATATCGTAGTACATCCCCACTGACATACAAATACTCAAAACACATACTATAAAAATATCGAACTTTTCACGCATATATAGCATATCCAAAAATCTCGAAAAACTTCAAACAACTTTTAGATAATAAGGCATGCAACCATTTTAAAAATAAATCACGTGTAACTCACAATACATGCGTAGCCCAAACTGATCTTTGAAGTAGCTAGCGTCTCCCTGATTGGTGCCAAACTATCTATGATGTAGAACATCGTCAACTCTCATTACAGCGTGCACCGTCGCCCTTTTCTCACAATAGTTCTCCTTCTTGACCCCAAACTACACATAAAGCTACAAACTCCCATTTTATACTAAGCCCCATCGGCGGTTTCACGAAATATGAAACGATAAGCCATAATAAATGGTCGTAGGTTTCATGACCATTGAGTTTCCTTTCATTAAATTGCATTCAATTTTAGGGTCTAAACCCTTCACTTTGATTGCATTTACACTAGAAGTCCTTGAAATTTAACGACTACCAATTCCTTCCCATTTTTTTTGGTTATTACATTATGTAAGATATTTATTTTAAATCCAGAATAATTAGATAATGAAAAGTGTTCACGTTGTATTTGTTTCAACTTTGTCTTATCTATCAATATTTCTTGCATATATTCTCCTATTTGCTCGTCTTGATAATCGATTACTGGGTTAGAAGAAATTGTAGAAGCAATTTCTAATCTATTCATTTCAGAAGAAGTATATTATGTATCAGTTAATATAAATATACTTTCATCTGAATCTACATTTTGAAAATTATTAATTTGGATAAAATCTCCATCATTTATCATTTTCTCAATATCTTCATCGATTTCAAATTTCTTAGCATTTTTATTGAATTTTTTGGGACATTTATCTCTTTACAATAATAACATCGACATTCTTTTGGTTTTTGTTTTCTTTTAAAGGTAGGCTTATGTGTTTTATTATATCATTTTTTCTTGTAATATTTTGTCTTTCTCTTTTTAAAATATCTATTTTTATATTGATTTCTCTTCTTATATTTCTTTTTTATCTTTCCGTAATAATAAGAACTATCACATCCTATCATTAAGGGCATTTTCGGTCTATCGCAACATAAAAATATTTTTCTTTTTAATCTTTTAGTCATTTTAGCCAAAATAGCATCTTCACACCATTCACTTAGTTTATCTCTAACATGTGTTATCCTTTTTCCCAAAGTATCCGTATATCCTGGATCATATGTATTGTATCAGTTTTTGTCCCTATGGATCAGGTTTCTTAGCAAAAAATAATGGTAGATAACTATATGTATCTGCTACTTGATTATATATATATGGTAATAATAATCTTGAAACACACATATATATCTATCTATTTCACACATATCACATAATGGTAATCTTAACAAGGTTGTAGAATGTTTTTTAACAGTAGCGGAATCTTTTAAGATATTTCCTTCACCGCAAAATTCTAAACAAAGGCTTCTACAAATCTTGTTATTATATTTGCTATTTCATTATCGGTTTCAAATATAGTTTCTTTAACCGTTGGATCTAAATTTTGCCAATATCTTAAGGCACTGTTCAATAATGTTCTTTCTAGAAATCCTTTTATAGTGTTAATATCCATTTTATTTACCAAAACTGCTATTCTAAAAGTAGTTTCTTATAACAGCCTAGATTTTGTTATTGATTAATCTTGGTATAATTATTTTCATGACAATTAGAAGCTTTATCTACTTGTACCCTTGCTTAAGGTAGTTGTATTTTGGACWAATAATATAAGTCCAAGTTTTATGTAAAGGGTCAATTATGTTAGAAAATAAATTGGTCTTAGGACTAGAAATGTTAAGAAAAATCCATGTAAAATCTAATATTGAATTAGGCAATTGATGAGGGGTAACATTTGCTAAGTGGGTATTCTTTTACTAAGTATTTAAATCCTTAATTTTTTTAGAAAATACTCTCATTTCTCACTTTCACTTCTCTTTCTAARCATACGCCTCTCTCTCTTAAACCCTAGCTTTTGGTTCTACCTCCTCATGCATCTTCCAATTTGGTGTTAGTTTGAAGATTTAAAGCTAATTGATTGAAGGCAATCTAAAGAAGCAARGTATGAAGCTATAAATTTCAAGATTTGTGGTCTAATTTGTTGAATTGTGATAAAATTGGGAGGTTTCATGTTAGGGTTCATAAGGTTTTGATTAGTAAG